AAAATATATTCAGAAAATTTCTCTGTTATTGCCTAAATATGGAAATGTTTATTTGCTATTTTTTCTAAAAAATTCCATTTGTCTCCATTTACCCCATATAGGACAAACACACCCAATGTCTCATTTTTAATTATGAGGGGTTTCCGAACAAAAGGCTACATTTACTCACCCAAACTCATGAATACAAACTTCATGAGCATTTTTTACAAAAATTTTACCAATAATTTATCAGCAGAATTGGAATAACTTGTAATTTATAAATTGTATTAGTAGTAAACAATATAACATCTCTGACATTCAAGCTTCACTGATTGAAAGGTCCTGAATCAGGTCGTAGGCTTCGTTTCCGTATTTATCCTTGTTTTGTTTACCTATTTTATAGTCCATATCTCCGCGTGCAAACGATGCAAATGTGTATGACACTTCTAGCAGGCTGAACGCCCACATATTCTATTTGTCAAACAAATCGCTTTCGCATGATATTATTTATATATGCCGGGTTATTTGAAACGGATTGTAATACTTGCGGCAAACGTTTATATAGAACGGATTTGAATACTGAGGTTTAGCAGTTCACACAAAAAATGTGAACACATTTGCAACAGACACTTTTGGAAATGGAAGTTCTCAAGATTTATCATATAGTTCAATAAAAAATTTATGGTCAGTGATGAATTTTTGTGATAGCCGAGTTGTATAGGAACCGTGCTATAAGAAACTCAGAATTAGTTCAAATCACAGCATTCGCACCGTGTTATATAATAAATGGTCGGCCCAAAGGCAGGTTTATGGCGTGAAATTACCTCAAATCAATGATTCATTTTTTTAAATACCTTGCTTATTATTTTCATTATCATTGTATACCACTATTCACTTTTTTCATACATTTTTATGCATGCTTCCTGGTCCTGTGCTTCGTCTTTCAGATCTCTGTATTTTTTTTTATCGCGTAAATCATTAACCACCTGCAATTTTTATGCTTCTCAATCCATTTAGCTACCTGGTCCTGTGCTTCGGCTTTCAGATCCCTGTATTTTTTTACCGCTGTAATCATTAACCATCTGCATTCTTCTGCTTCTCAATCCATTTTGTCCTTCCATTATCCTTTTGAAGATGCCATGTAGAATGCACTCCTTTTGCAGGATGTAGGATTAGATCGGACAGATCTAGTTCCCTTTCCTTTTTGATGATCGTGCTTAGTAGAGTTCTTTCTTTGCCCACTTTTTTCAGAATTTTGTTATTTGTTACCTAGTCTGTCCACTTTATTTTATAGCAACACATTTCAAAACTTTCCAGATACTTTTTGTCGGACTTTCTCAGATGTTATATGGGACCGTGTTATATGGAGACTAATAAAAACTAGTTATTAGTTGAGTTTTTCCCCGAGGAAAATGCATCAACATTCCGATATGTGCAAATAGTCAACTTAATCACTAAGAAATCAGTTTATAAATTTATGAGTGGTTACGAAACTTGGGCCAAAGTGTTGGGCGTTAGCAATTCTTAAGCTGATTCTCAGCTCTCAATATGACAGCTCTTCATGTTTGGCCTTACATCTATTCACGAGCCTGCCTCACGGGAAAGAGTTAAGGGGTTACACCACTGTAATTTTCCAAAAACGTATATTCTAAAAATAGTAATATATGTTATTATAAAAACATTTATATTGTATAAATAAACTTTATTTTTAACCAATAGATGAGTAGTGCAGAGTCAACACATATTAGTATTGGCTATATTACGGCTGATATTGCTAGGGATAATTTCAACGATGGTCTAATCAAAATTTTATAAATGATAAAAGTTTTGGAGCTTTACATTGGTATTTAAACATGCAAGTTTTGTCTTGAAGTCGATTATGAACAGTTTAAGCATGCCGACAACATGTCTTTGAGGGATACGCCAAAAGTAGGACGCTCCAATAATAAAATCATCAAGGAAAGAAAATAAGAAATAAGAAAAAAATAAAAATATAGGAAGGCATCTGTATTTTACTGGGATATAAGATTATTAGTAAAAAAAATTAAAATAAAAATTTTTTAATTTTTCTTATCCATAATTTATTTCATAACTTTAAACGCGTTTTTCTCGAAACACGATTTTTCAACCACAACAATTTAAATTGTTTTTAATCTAATTGTTTACAGTATTTAAAATTACACTTGTAAGTGCCCGATTTTCTGTATGTTAATTGGTTCATCAATTATTAACAAATTACTATCCGTTGTCATCGTTGAAATTTAACGGTTTTGAATAAAAACACTTGCCTAACAAAAAAAAGCGATATTTCTGAAATATGCTATGATGGGCACTTCAAAATGTTAGTTTAAATATTGTCATAAAAAATCGAGAGAAAATAATTAAAATTGTTATTTTGCGTACCACGGAGCGCCCCCAATTTGACGCGGCTCACCGAAATGGCTGTGGTACTGCCGTTTCAAGTTTTTTTTTACTATTATATTTAATTTGTTACTTTAAAGTAAAAAAAATAACTATCCTTATATTATTATGATTTTAGTACATTTTTTGCGCCCGAAAAGAAATGGCAAAAATATGCGTTTTTTTGGCTGCTACAGTGGTGTAACCCCAAAGCATTCGTCCTAGGCCATGAACTCGTAAAATGTTTAAGAAAAATTGACTGTTTTTTAGAAAACGCCGACAAAAGTCAAATTTTGGCTGAAATGCACGTACAAATACTAACGCATATATATTTTTCCTTACTTTTGTCTGGAATTATTTAAAATACTGGGTTACTGGCAAAAATATATTTTTTTGGGAAAGTTAAAAAATAAGCTAAATCATGAATTACTTTTAATACACTATTTTTTTATTAGACTTGGTCACAAACCAAATGTGCTCTTAAACAAGTTCTGACACAACGAAATCGAGCCAGTTCTTACAACACAGTTAGTTCTGTCGAACACAGCTATGACATAAACTGGCATATTTATATTAACATACTGTAAAATATAAAATATGTCGACATTAAGGGACCGATTCTGCCGCATAACAGAAAAATTTTATGGCAAGGTCATGTTATGAAGAAATTTCCATACTAATATTGACCAAAGCCATGCGGTTGGTGTGCAGTCGACCGAATTCTCAGGTTGTCTGATGGAAAACATAAACTAAAAGTTGCACAAATGTCAAAAAAACTATGTAGATAACAGTGTGTTTCTGATACCACTACATAACATACGAGTGACTTTGCAGTTTGTGTAAAACCTGAATGCAAAGCAAACACATAACATTTGACAGTATTCAGTATGATCATTAGCATAATGTATGGAAGTCGGAGCGTAACATGGCTTTGCCGTAACATTTTTCTGTTATGCGGCAGAATCGGCCCCTAAAACCTTTTATAGCAACACGTCGATACTAGGAGTCTTCGTGGTGGAGTGGTAAAAACTATAAAATTGAAACATATTTCAGAATTTTGGTTACGAAACATGCAAAAAATAGTACAAAATTAGTAATCAAAAGCACATCAGTAATCTTATTTTTTTAAATGAAAACATATTAGGTAGTCTGCTAAGCAAACAGCGCAGATTGTTTTAATTGCCCTTAATTGCCTTTGTCGTTGAATAAATGCAAACGAGACACCTTTATATTCCTTTTCAAGAAACCGTGAATTCTATTTTTAGACTCTGAATAAGGATTATTGTGATACGTTTTTGAATACTGCTGTGTAAAGAACCGTTTGAAGAAACGCGCTTGTTAACATCGAAACATATTTAGACAAATAATTGGAAACCGTGCAAAGCACAGATGGCAATAATTATAAATGACAAAAAATATTTTACTGCCTTCTAAATAATGAATTTTCTTGTACAATATCAATAGATCAGATTCGCATTGAAAGTTTTTGAGAAATAAAATAATATTTTAGGTTGTCGTTTATGATTACTCGTCTTCGATTATCTGTTTTTTGATCATATTATCTGTGACAGTCAATTTGTTTTTTCAATAAAATATGATTAAGGGTAAGTTATAGTAATAGCAACAAAATCAAAAATAAAAGTTTATATCCTTACGCTTCAATACCCACTGAACATTTTGGCATTAGAAAAAATTGATGTATGTGTGTGTTCAGATACAAATTTTCGGGAACACGAATCAACTGATTTCAATAATTCAAAAAAAAATTCAATATTTGTATTGATGGGGAGACGTGCTGATAAGTTTTTGGCAAAGGCAGGTGCAGTCTTTCCAAAGATACGGGGCAAAAAGTGACAAAAATGATACTTCAGCTTGAAAGAACGGAGCGTTCGATTTATAAAATAAAAAAAACATTTTATTTGTATTTGCAAAACCAAGAACTAGTAAAATTTTTTGAAAAAAAATTGAGGAAGGCAGGTCTAGCGGTTTTGGAAATACAATAAAAAGTGCCATTTGGCGGTCAAAAATGATTATTAGACATCTGCATATCAAATTATCAGATATTTTATAGAGATATCAATAATAAGTACTCATCTTTGCATTTCTATATAGGTTCTGCACCGAGATTATAATGTTCAATCATTAGGAAAAAAGATTTCAAAAAATTCAAAATATAAAAAAGCTAATTTTTCAAATACTTCCAACTTTTTCAAATATTTCAAGATCTTCAAAAATCATTTTTTGCAACGTTTTCAGAAAAATATAAAACTTTTAAAAATTCTAAATTGTAGTACGGAAAGTTCCAGCAATTTGCTTTAAGGCACGATACCTTGCTTTACTAGTTCTTAATCATAATTGCAAATAATTCGCTTTTATCTGCAAAATATAAAGTATCTTAAGAAAAGAATTCAATATATATATATATATATATATATATATATATATATAGGTATATACATATATATATATGGATGTATATCCCTATAATAATATGTATATGAAATGTGCCCAAATTGCAGGACGCCATATGTTAAATGTCCTCTTAAATTTCAGCGATTATCTCATAGGTCTATTAGTTAAATAAAATATAAGGAATTAAATTAAATATATATAATACTTACGAAAATATTCATAACCTTCCAGATTCAACTATCAATGCACTAAACTGTTTACTGCATAATTTCAAATAATTAATAATGTGCACTTATGATGGTTTGACATGATGAACATATATATGCTCCGAAACATATACGTGCGTAGAAATTTACTATTTAAATAAGGCAATCGACATTGAAAATAGATTTAAAATAATTTTGATCTTACATCTACACATTTGTCACTAAAATTACTGAATGCCTTACCAGACAGATTGTAATTACATGAAAATAAAAAAATATGAAAATAAATTTGATAGTAAATCTGACAGATTGACGTTGCAGAACTACTTAACGCCATTTTGCAAAACAGAAATTACAGATTACAAAATAGAAGCTGTTCAGCAAAAAACACATTGTAGTCCCAAAATGAAAACACATAACTTAAACACATAGTCCAGAAATCCTGATCTAAATTAAAATCCAGAAGTCCGTATATATACGTATACAGTATGTTATATATCACCAAGCACAATAATTTTGTGTCTTTGTTTTATATGTCAAAAGCAAACTAAGTACTGCATTGTACTTGAACCTTAAACATGTTTGGGAACATTTGTACCAATACAACAAAAGGAAAAGCGATACGCACGTAACTACCCGCGAATTTCAAATTATTCACTTTACGTCCGCATGATATATTGTAAATTGTAAATAGTTATTAATGTAATAGTAAAATATATAATTATTAGTTTAATATAATAATAATAGTTAGAGGATATATTGTAACTGGCCATTAAAAATGTTATAAAACGGCAAGCAAATCCCTTCTTAATCAACCATTAAATTATATAAGGTTGTCAAATATCTCCCTTCCGCCTTTTTGTATTATAAACCAAGAGCAAAAAAGCGAAAGAGAGATATTTGACAACCTAATATCAAGCAAACTTAAGTTCGTACTGACATATATATATATATATATATATATATATATATATATATATATAAATGTTATAAAACTATTGCAGAGGATAAGTAATTTGATATTTATTATTCGAGTGCGTACGTTTTATCAAAAAATAATTCTAGGATTATCCGAACAATATATTTCACATTTCTTAAACAAAAATTGCATGATTTAAATACATAAATATAATTATGCTAAAAGCAAGCAATCACAAATATAAATTATTTTGCAAAAAATAATACACGGATCTGGGGATAGTATAGAAAATTGCTCAGAAGATGATATCTTGCAAAAAAATATATAATTCATGTAATATATATCACTTCTTAAAAAAATTAATAAATATAATTATATTTATTATGACATCATTGTGTGTAGTATGTTTTTTTGAATTCTTGGTATCCCCTCTTTTTGTACTAGTTGTTTGACCCGTATAACACGGATTCGCACAATACTCCACTCTTCTGGAACGCAACTACCGTGTTATACAAAGGTTACCTGTATATATATATATATATATATATATATATATGTGTGTGTGTGTAATGGTCAAGCTCTCGGACTCGTGTGGACGGGGTCGTGAGTTCGAATCTCGTCCTGGACAACCCGACATCGGGCAGCTGCGATATCCATTTTCACTTGAAAATATAGATGAAAAAATATGTTTCCATTTGAAAATAAGCCCATCATGGATACTGCGGTGTAAAATGACAATGGGAAATTTCTAACACTATTCTTTCCTGAATCGAGTTGAAGTTTAACTCAGCTCACAAACCTGTTCTAATTATCTCTAATTAGTTATAAATGAAAAATTTATGAATTCTTTTTTAAACATAAAACAGAAGCACACAAAATCACACAATATAATCAACACAAAAGTTCACAAAAAGTATAATCGTATTTTAGACAGAAAAAATGTATAATAATGTAACAAAATATTTTTATTCATACATCCAGCTAAATATTAAATAAAAAAAACAGAAATAGCTTTAATTTTTAACTTCGGGAAAAAACTGCCCGTAAAATTTGAACACATGCTAAAAACTGCTTTAAGAAAAAATGGGATATTTCTATCTTAAACTCCGAAGAGTAAATACATAGTTTCGACAACTTGTTAAGTTATCATGGTTATTAGTGTTTTTTATCATTTGTGATGTTAAAAAATATGTATTTTATCAATGTGCACATACTCATACCATGGACTAATAATGGTTGCATGGATACAAAATTGTGTTTCATTATTATTATTATTATTATTATTGTTTTTCTATGAAATTTCTTACATATTATTTATTTAGCTTTAATTTTTATAGTTAATTTGATTACCACTGAATGATGGCTAACATGCTAGCCGAAACGTATGGATTTTAAATAAATAAACTTTTAAAAAAAATCTCATACTATTTTTTTTTTTGATGTTACGCCCAAATTTTAAACTCAAATTAAACATATATATCAACAATATCAAATTCAAGACTATTCATATATATATATATATATATATATATATATATATATATATATGCGATATATGTACATAAATGTATATATACTTAGGATATTATTATGGATTGTAAGTCCGTGTATAAGAAGGCAACAATTAACACCGTAAGACATAATAGACGTGGGGCGTTTGAATGGTTGTAAATGATCAAAGACCATTTCTCTCAGGCAGTCTTTCTGAATCCACTGAAAGCATTTCTATGTACAATTGAATTACTCGACGCATTTCAGGACATTTCTCAAGAAGACATCTTTAGTATTGCAATGAATTAATAACTTTAACAACCTTAGATCCAGATCAATTTATGACTTTTATGACATCAAAAGGGTTATTACAGAATATTACTTGGTGTATGCGTGTTATTTTAGTACTTTAAGAAATTGTTTTATAGATGTAATAATTTAGATTTATTTATTTATTTTATGAAGATAATTTTTATATATTCAATTTAAGAGAGTGAATCGAATAAATATATTGACAATAATATAATAAAGTAAAGGGTTAATTTTCAAAATGAAGAAATAAAATAAATAAAAAATACAGAATGATTATAATAATTTGATTTAACAAAAAGTATAATAAAATATATTTCAATAACCATGTTAGATTAAAGACATCATTAAGGTTTTGTAGTCTAAAATATCACAATTTCGTAATTTTATTGTAATCATTCTACCGTAGCTCTTTTATTTAGACGGTCCTTCTATAATGTTAGTGCTTCTTATATATATTATAATATATATATCTATATTAGGGTGGTCCTTAATATGGACATTTCCAAATGATTCCAAATTGATAAAAAACAATTCTCTGAAAAATTTAGCTCTTAATATTAACTTTTTGATAGTGCGCAATTCAATCAAACTTCGTATGGAAATAGCATAGAAAATTTTTTGAAAATTGAAAAAAAAATTTTAGGTATAACTTAGCGACAAATGAATTAAAAGTGAAAATTCGTGTAATTCTTTTATTGAAATTTCGACGCTCTTGAAAATTTTTGAAAACTTTCCATACAAAACTTTGATTGAATTGCGCTCTATCTAAAAGACAATATTAAGAGCTAAAACTTTTAGAGAATTGTTTTTTATCAATTTGGAACCATTTGAGCCCTTGGGAGCAAGGAAACTCAAAAATGTCCATATTGAGGACCACCCTAATATATATATATATATATATATATATATATATATATATCATGTGAATAGAGACGAGAGTTTCTATGAGAGGGGCATAATAATATTACCTTCAAAATGGCAACAAGTTATCAAACAAAATGACGATAATTGATCTAAATCTGATCATTCTAACTATGGTCACGCAAAAATAATGCATTTGTTTTTACTTCACCTAATAATCAAAAAGCAGGAACAGAATAGCCCTTCATCTGCAAATAAATAATTTATCTTTAACGCAAAAACGGGATAGGGTCTTTTATTGCTAGTATTGTAGATTATAAATATGCAAGAGATTGACATGCTGAAACAATCTCAACCTTATATCTTGATTGATTCTCGAAATGTAAACCGGTTTGCCGGAAAAATTACATTTGAAAACCGGTTTTCAGAAACGTTGGTTTTTGTATAAAGTTTAATCTCTAGAATACCATTTGATTAATTGCACAAAATATAGAACAGTGCATTAATATTACGTTTCCAAACTGATCTGGCAAAATTTAATTTTATTTTAACAATAACCCAAATGAGTAGAAATGTTTTGCATATATGAGCAATCTCATAAATATGTCTGTATATACATAAATTTGTATTCAGGAATAACGACCTTATCCACCTTTGCCTATTTGTATTTATTCCGGCAATACGTATATTATTATTGACAGAGCTACCTTTAGGATTTTCTAAACGCAGCGCAAAGATATCATTAGGAATCAAATATGCTTACCTTTATAAAATACATAAATCGTATATCAGATCCGAAAGGAAAGCTTCCGAGATCATTCGCCGAATTTGATAGGAGAAGAAACGTGGGACACGCTGGGTGTATGTACGAGCACATGACTATTTACGGATCAAAGAGTATTCACAATACGGAAGACACGGGTTGGTAGTCATAGGAATACTCTTTCATACTGGTAATATAGATATAAATAATTATTGTAGGATTAGCTAGCTCAATGCGTTAACATTCATATTAAAAAACGGGGATAAAACCGCATAGTTGTAATATTTTCATTTTATTTTGTTTTATTTTCTATTGGAAGATTTGTCAAAGGGTATTTCCGGGACTTAAAGATCCGCGGGTAAAAATGTCCATCAACATTATCTCAGTGTAATTTTTTTTAACAATACTCTTTTAAAGTGGAAGACAAAAGTTGTGTAATGATCCATTATATCCTAATTCTTGCGGCATCGATATCAGAGGTAATTTGTTTCGTCGGTAGTTTTTTTTTGTTTTGAGTTCTTCTGATTGGTTTATAATACCTGAAATTATATATATATATATATATATATATATATATATTCCCATTTGAGACCCTGGGAGCAAGTAAATTTGAAAATGACCATTTTAAGGACCACCATAATATACATATATATATATATATATATATATATATATATATATATTCCATAGGCATATATAATTTTCGTATATTAATGATAAAAATAAGATACTTTGCCAAAGAAACCATATCTCTAAAATGAATT